ACAACCAGACCTATCCCAAGTCAGGCGGGAGGGAGAGCAGGAGGAGACACAACCAGACCTATCCCATGTCAGGCGGGAGGGAGGGCAGCAGGGCAAGAGCTCGGGTGCCCGTCTGTCCTTCTGGATCTCCTCTGAGGGTGCAACTATGGCCTCACACCTGGTGCCAGTGCGTGGCCAGCACTCTTCCCCACTAGGTAGCAGGTGCAAAGGGAGGAGCTGGTGCAGGTGCAGATGGGGTTGAAAAAAACGGGAGGAGGGAAAGCCCATCATGGAAATGGGAGCGACTCAAAGTTCAGGCTGAGAACCAGAGCCTGTGAAAGGATTCTGTGATGAAATACACCATCATTCAGTTTCCACACCTACAGAGAGAAATGACCAGCTCCATTTCTAACCTGATGATAAATCATAAAAGTGCTCTAAAATAAAATTATGTTTTGATGATGATGAAATTAGGTGGTGCTGTGTGTCAATTATTGATTCACTCTGTATCCACCATAAGTCCAGACCCCACGGGAAAGTCAGTGCTTTGGAAGGTAAAGGACAGACTCCATGCTCCTGGCACTGCAGAGTTCCCTGCTAATCTGCAAAGGTGTGGAGCATTGTTACCCCAGCATTGTTTTATGGGTTTGTACAGAAGATCACTTTAACATTTCAAAAACTCAAAAGCATGGTGCCCTTTGATCTGTAACTAATTACCCAATATCCTCCTTAGCAAAAGACCTCCTCTGGCCACTGAGTCCTGGGTTCTGGCCCAGTTAGCCAGCAACCCTGTGGGGTAGCAAGGAGGAATGTCTTACCTTGGAAGCCGCTCCAGCACCGTCTTCAGTTCCTCGCAGATGAGCTTGACCAGCCCACTCTTGATGTTGCTATAGGAAACGTTGATCATGAAGATAAAGGCCGGCGGGCTGGGAGGCTTGTTCTTCTGCAGGAAAGCAGACAGTGCACACGGTAAATGCCTCTCACATCAAACTCACTCACTAGAGACCCGCAGGTCTTCAGAAGTTCACTGAATATTTAGGATGTAACATCTGTGGAATCAAATCCTGTTCAAGAAGAGAGTCTGATGCTACCGGAGAGATGAGGCAGCAGCTTACCTCAGGACCTGACCGACTCTGGCAGCACTGTGAGAGCTGGCAGAGAAGGTGCACTCGGGCAGACCCCCGACTGAAGCTGCTGCAGGGGACCTCACCAACTGGGTCCCTGTTTAGGGCTCTCACAAGCTCTACTTCAGTTTCACTGACATGACATCAGACACTAAAATTTAACGCAGAATTTAAAAACAGCACCACATTGTTTAGCGCCTACTCAATCTATTTCACATCCACTGTCAACAGGGCCTCTGTGTGTCTGAAACATCCCTGACATGAAGCAGCTGCTATGAAACGGTTTCAGGCTGTTTGCTCCCTGGTCTGGCTCTGGTGCTCCAGGAAGTGATTCCTAGTGGGGGCTCAGGAAATATGTAGACCAGAGAGCCACAGGCAAACAGCTTCCGCGACCTCCCCAGAGCAAACACCAACTCAATTTCTAACTTTATGATAAACCATAAAAATGTTCTACAGTAAAGTCATGTTTTAACCCTATTCATTCTGCCTCACCACAAGGCTGGGTGGGTGCTCTACAGTAAAGTCATGTTTTAACCCTATTCAT